CGAGTGAAAACGAATTTTTTTAAAAATGCACCTGTCATTTGTTTAAGTTACAACAGTCAAAAGAATCAAAATCACTTCATACTGCTTCTTTGAGAACCAAGATCTAATACTAATATAACCATAAGCAAAAGAGTTACAGATTAAAGAGTTAAGTTCAATTGTCTAATACATACCAATTGGGTAATTGGGAGTATTGCATTAATATGTACTTCAAAATGCCTGACTATTGTCTAGAATTCCCCAGCAATAATTGATAAAGCATATTTTAAGAATTGGTAGTTTAGCGGCACCTGGGTGGCTCAGTTGATTGAGCGTCCGACTTCGGCTCAGGTCATGATCTCATAGTTCCTGAGTTCGAGACCCGTGTTGGTCTCTGTACTGACAGCTCAGAGCCTGGAGGCTGCTTCAGATTCTGTGTGCCCCTCTCTCGGCCCCTCCACTGCTCATACTCTGTCTCTCTCTGTCTCTCTTTCTCTCAAGTATAAATAAAACATTAAAAATTTTAAAAAAAATAATTGGTAGTTTAAAGCAAAGAAGAGAAAACTAAAAACATAACTTTAATTTTTCTTTTCATGAATTCAAAGGCAGTAACATACTCAGACTGCAGGTTTTCATATGGGTATGTCTTATTTTACTTTCCACTAGAGAGAAAAGCATTGGTTGCCACTTTTAGGAGTGTTAAAATAGGTTTTCTTCCACCTGTGTAGTTCTTTTTTTTTTTAATTTTTTTTAATGTTTATTTATTTTTGAGAGAGACAGAGACAGAATGTGAGTGGGTTAGGGACAGAGAGAGAGAGAGACACAGAATCCGAAGCAGGCTCCAGGCTCCGAGCTGTCAGCACAGAGCCCCACATGGGGCTCAAACTCACGAGCTGTGAGATCATGACCCGAGCCGAAGTCTGACTGTCAACCGACTGAACCACCCAGGCAACCCCCACCTGTGTAGTTCTATAACCACTATTGAGCTTGATTTAATTTCAATTACCTTCTCTAAGGAAAATTATATAATATCATTTAGTGAATAAAGTCATAGTTGCAGAAAAAGTATGAGGGCCCTTAATTTTTCTTTTTTTTTCCTTTTTCTTTTAAAGTTTATTTATTTATTTTGAGAGAGAGAGAGAGTGAGAGCAGGGGAAAAGCAGAGAGAGAGGGAGAGAGATGATCCCAAGCAGGCTCTGCACTGCCGGTGAGGAGCCGATGCAGGGCTCGAACCCATAAGCCATGAGATCATGACCTAGGCCAAAACCAAGAGTTGAACGGTTAACTGACTGGGCCACTCAGAAGACCCAGGCCCTTAATTTTTCTAATTATCCAAGTATATTAGACTCTTCCCACATGAAATGCAACATTCACCATTCAAAGAAAAGCTGAACATTCTTATTTCCTCTATTGGCTATTTACCATCTATCTATAATTTAAATTTAATTCAAAATAGCCTGGATGATATGAAAGTTCCAGTTGGATTGAGGTAACTTGTGTTTTCAGATTCCAGTGTGATCTTAGAATACTGTGTCCTACGCAAAAATGGATCATCATTTTCCGTTTGAAAAACTTAATTTTAACGGGATCAAATTCTGGCATATTTTTAAAGATACATCTTGACGTGCTCATTTTTTTCTTAGATTTGGATAACAATTCACTTAGTAACTCATTCTGTAAATGTGCTGATTGTTCCTTCCTGATTTCTAGACTTTATGTGTGCTATTTCTTTTACTTGGAGTGTGCTTTGTATCCTATCTTTGCCTGAAAAAATATTTTCAATTATATAAAGGCCAGCCCAAAGACCACCTCCTTTAGTTAAGAAAAGTTCCTGGAATTAGTCACTCACTATGCTGGACTTTTATAGAAATGGGAGTTTTGGTGTTATTATTTGTTCTGTTGTGGGTTTTGGCCTTTTTTTGTTGTTGTTGTTTAGTCCCTGTATTAAAACTTATCACCTTTTTCCCTTTAAGTTATAGTGTCAGAATTTCTAAGTTAAGCAATAAGATAGAGAAGTTTCACAGGAGGCCAGCTATCTGGCTCCCATGGGAGCTTCCAGGGTGGGGACGTGATTATCTTCTGACCCCATCCTCACAGACTCAGAGACCTAATTTTACCAGCTAACCAAAAGGAAGAATGAACATAATAGCAGTAATTTACATAAGAAATATATTTTTCACTATATTACTCTACTCAACATATGAAATACATACCTAGGAAAGACCAATTATAATTTGAAGCTTAATAAGGTTGGCTATTTTAAGCTTATAATGCCAAAGGGGCCCAGTGAATTAATCTTCACAAGGACGGACTTGTGAAGCTGGACCCTCAGCTCACAGATCAAGATTTCCAGTGCCCCCAGGCAGGTGTTGAAATGGGCACCATCAAGGGGCGCCTGGGTGGCGCAGTCGGTTAAGCGTCCGACTTCAGCCAGGTCACGATCTCGCGGTCCGTGAGTTCGAGCCCCGCGTCGGGCTCTGGGCTGATGGCTCAGAGCCTGGAGCCTGTTTCTGATTCTGTGTCTCCCTCTCTCTCTGCCCCTCCCCCGTTCATGCTCTGTCTCTCTCTGTCCCAAAAATAAATAAACGTTGAAAAAAAAAATTAAAAAAAAAAAAAGAAATGGGCACCATCAATATTTATCTTTGTCAGTCTCTGCTCTATCTATATCCTTTGATGAGCAAACGATCTTCTGATTGTCTTGAATCATGTGACTTGGCATTTTCTGTTTTAATCCATTACACATAGACTAAATCATTACCCGTTAAAGGTAATTTTCCTAATTGTATATCCCCTTTTTTCAAGATCTCGGTAGGGTGCCATCAGTACAACAGACAGCATCCATTCAGTAACACCCAATCAGGACAATAAAAAGAAAACAGTACCAGAAAAAAACTGTATGTGTTGATTATACGACTCAGAACTAGAATACGGTTCAGAATTAGAAACATGCAAATGAACTTGTTTGAGAATGGGGAAAATAGGGGTCAGTGAACAGTCTCTAATCCTTACCTCATCAGTATTTCTGTGGCATTTCACAGACTATGTCTCATCTTACATTTAGGATACCCCTCGCTTCTAGTTTTTACCCATCCAGTGCCGACTATGTCCAGTCCCTCCTCGTCGCTTTGATGGGCTTTTGGTCCACCCTCCCTCTCAAATGTTAGCCTTTTCCACATTTACGTTCTTGTCTCTCTTCTCTGCTAACATGATTGCTTCCCCTTGAGCAATATCATCTTCATCCAAAATGTCAGCTCTCAACATATGGGCTGATAAGTTTCAAATATATATTCTTACTTCAAAAGTATATTCTTACTCTTTCTGAACCATAGGACCATATTTATAAATGATTACTGAAAAAGTGTGTGGAGACAAGCAAAGTTATCTAAAGAAGGACCTTAGGGATGCATCTTGGGTAACCTAATGAAAAGCTGTCTGGAACTATGGGCTTCATTTAACTCCAGATTCCCATGGGACCCGGGACCCCAAAGCGTATGCCCCGGACATCTGATGTTTTGCAGATGTCTTCAATAGCTGGCAGCTAGGCCCTGGCTGTTTGACCCTTGCCTCCAAAATGTTTATTACTCCCATAAAGTTGTTCTCAGGTTTGCACAAATGAGAAGGGAGAGCCTCGGGAAGTCAGGGTCCCTCTACTAGAGCCCAGTCCTATGGAATATTCAACTGCACCCCAGCCCCAGCATGTCTCTCTATAGGACCTGAGGGAAAGAGCACCCATGCACCTGTTTCTGCATGAGAGTCTGAGCCTATTCCAGATGCTGCCTGCTGGACTTCCTCTGGGCTTAATTCATGGCCACATGCTCCTCGTTGGGCTATCTGCCCCTTCGGACACCTCAACTCCAGCAAAAATGTGCTCCTCGTTCTAATATTTCACCTCTGAATGTATTAGCATTCACCCAAGTTGGGAGCCCAGAAGTAATTTTATACCTTGTCTCCCTTCCTTTACCTTCCTTCACCTCTAACTTCTAGAACCTTTGATATTCAACTTGTCACAGATATGTAACGTTCTTCCTCTTCTCTACATCCATTGTCTCTATTTGAGTTCAGACCCCTTTAACTTTAATAATTTCACCATGCACAATCCTGGCTCTCTCTCTTAATTGTGTCAAGTCCACTGTCCATATTAATACCAGAATAATCTTAATAAGGTTCAAATCTTATTATACTTTACTGCTTGAAGACCCTCATGACTCCCTGTTGCTGACATAAGAAAAATCTATGTCTTTTTTCAAGACTCTATGGCATCTGTCTACCATCTTGTTACTCCTCTACAGGAGCCCCACATTCCAGCCACACCAACCTATTGGAAGCTTTCTAAGCACATGCTGTTTCAAACTTCTATGCTCTTCTCATTGTTGCCAGAAATATCATTCTTCCTCCTTAACCCAAATCTTCCAGAAACCTCTCATCAATGTGATGAAGTCATTGACGATGAAAACAGAGCTGAGAGTTTGTCAAACACACACCCACATCCTTTCAGCCCTCCGCACACACACACATTCTGCACAAACCTGAGAAGCCAGTCAAAGAAATTCTGTTCCAATTGATACGGAATCGGCCATTCGACTTTTAGGTAAGCCAATAAACTTTTTCTGGTTAAGTGATTTTGGGGTTTGATTTCTGATATTTGTGACATGAATTCTTATGAATATGTAAGGAGTTTATAGAAATAATCTGTGTGGAGGGTGTGGAAATAATAAATTGGTTATTATCAATTGTATGCTAAAATTGAGCAAAACTCATGAATCATACATCTGCTGGCATCACTCAATTATATTACATTACCACAAAAATAAATAGTATAATTTTGGGGTATCATTTAAGGGTCAACTTTTTATCTCTTTTGAATTCTACTAGGGGGTGTCTGGCTGGCTCAGTCAGAAGACCATGCAACTCTTGATCTCAGAGTGGTGAGTTCAAGACCCACCTTGCAGGTAGAGATTACTTAAATAAGTTAAATTAATTAAAAATTAAATAAGTCCTCTGAATTCTATTAGTGTTGTTTATTTAAATTTTTTAACAGAAACAAATAAGAAGTCCCCAGAGAATGTGAATGATGTGCGTAAAGAGTTAATTGATGGCTCAGCACTTGGGACCAGCATTCCAACCACAAAGAGTTCGGTTTACATGGGGTAGATAAGCAAAGAAGGTTGAGATCTTTAACTGTTGCTCTTCCCATTCAAGAACGTCCAGTGGAATTCAATGATTGTTGACCTCACTACATAGAGCATAGCATTTCTCACCAAGCTGGGAGATTATTAATCTCTTCATCAAATCCTGAGATAGGAATCATTTAGGTTAATGCCTCCACTGGTTACTGGCCAAGTACTGTGTCCAACTCAAACATGATTCCTTAAGGATCAAAGGCCAATGGTATTTCTAGAAGAGATAGAATAGGATTAAATCAGGCCATTGCTTTCAGGTTGTGTCCCATTCCTCTTGATGAAGACATCACTTCTAACAGCACTCCCCCCCCCCCTTTTTTTAATAGATTTTAGTTCTTAGGAAGAAACTGAGGTCATTCCCCACAAGGAGAATTCAGCAGCCTGGAAAGGGTGGATCATGGGAGAGTGAAGCAATCCAAACAAGTGAAGGCGTGACATACCCTATCTCTGAGGCATCCCAGCTTATGAGAAATCTCAGTAGGAGTGAAAAGGTGCAGGCCTGCCACACCCCATGGACTAAGCTCTGAGGACCTGCAGAATGCTAACTCACCTGATATTATCACCAGTGGAATTCTTGGTCTGCTAGCACCTGCTACTATGCTTTGACAGGCCTGCTAGATTATTATAAACCAAGAGAGAAACAATGAGCATTGAATGGTAGCCCTTTTACATCTCACCTCCAATCTAGAAGCAAAGGGAAAATCCAGGATATTTCAAGCTCCCTTGCATCTCTTCAACTCTGTTGTTCTACTATTCCTCAGTGATTCAGAAAAAGCTCCAATAGAGGCATGACCTGATAGGTGGTTCAATATGCCAGATACAGAAAAGGTGAAGACTATGCAGAAGGAATTGGCCAAAAATGTTTCACTTAAGTCATCTTTAGCAGCTACCCTTTCGCAACCTGCCCCATGACACTGGGGGCTCTGGGATCCTGATACCCAACCGTGTATCCACCACCACCACACACCATTTCTGTCTGCAGAACTATCTTGGCTCACTCTGAGACTGCAGCCTGGAAGCTCTTTCCACCTCTTTCCATACAGCGATTTTCTGTTCCCCCTTAAGAGTCAGCTGAGGTGTCACGCTGAACCTCTGGGTTGACAAAGAGTATTTCTTCCGTGGTCCTAAAAACCAGTGGATACCAAGCCGTAGTGTAAAGCATAGTCGCTGTAAAACAGAGACTCCTGCATCAGTGGTTAAAAATGCGGATAGAAATCTGCATTTTTAACAAAGTCCTGAGATAATTCTTTTTTTTTTTAATTTTTTTTTAATGTGTATTTATTTTTGAGACAGAGAGAGACAGAGCATGAATGAGGGAGGGTCAGAGAGAGAGGGAGAGAATCTGAAGCAGGCTCCAGGCTCTGAGCTGTCAGCACAGAGCCTGACGCGGGGCTGGAACTCACGGACTGTGAGATCATGACCTGAGCCGAAGTCGGCCACTTAACTGACTGAGCCACCCAGGTGCCCCCTGAGATAATTCTTAAGCCCAGTGTGAAACCTCTACTAAGATGTTCTGTCAAAGACCCTGTCAGAAACATGGATGAGAAACTCTGTGCCTCTCTTTATTAACAATCCCCATATTATATTAGAACTGTCTGGGTATGTGGTCCTCTCTCCCATAAGACCACAGGCTTTTTTGAACATAGAGATCCCATATTGCTTCTTTGTACCATTGGCACCCGACTCAGGGCCTAACATAGATGAGGTATCCAATAAATAGTTTTTGATCAGAACTGAATTCTAAAATATGCTAAGTAGACTTTCTTTTAGGTGAATAATTTCTGGTATTTTTGAAAGTGAAAATAACTTCAGTTTACAGACTCACTCTAAGGTATAACATACAAGAGGGAAACCGATTCTCTGTAGAATCTACAATGTTTCAGATCCTTTGATCAGTATTTTCCATACATTTACTTGGTTAATGTGGAAAAGAACCATGTGATAGCAATACCATTACCACCATCTGAAAGTTGAATAATTGAGGCTTAAAGAGATTAAGTTGCTTAACCAGCAACACATAGCTATAAAGCTACCTTTATTGATCTGGAAGGCCTTGCCCTTAAACACTAAATACGAGAATCCCAATAAAATCCCTAAAAAGTAATTCCAGTGCTGTGAACTCTATAGGAAACTTTGTAGACAGGTTCCAGTGTCTTTGAAATTATGAAAATAAAGCAGTATCACAGTTACTTCCAATAAACTGACCTACTGACTCAAGCTGAAGCCAAAATGACTTGTCTGTAGTTTAGGCAGTCCTTGGTGCCTACTTAAGCTTGGAAATGCCATGATAAACTCAGTTCCAGTAGCCAATCACTGTGGACAAATAAGCCTAATATAGCCCTTGGGCCTTCATGCAAGACTCATCTGTTTTTTGTTTCTGCAAAATCGCAGTCGGCGAAACAAATATTGCTGTATAGAACTATGTACTGAAGTCAAGACCACTGGATAAATAAAAATAAATAAATATAATATGTAAAGATATTAATGTATAGTATATAATGCATAATAATATATATGACATCATAATACAGTATATGTTATAGATTACATATAAATCTAAAAATAATTAAAGTGAGAACTAGATCTTGCATGTTTGAGATTGTATGTGGCCTATATACATTTACACTTACCTGACTGTTAAACCCTTGGTTCACACTTTCTTTTCCTCAGGATTTAGCTCCATTGTCTCTAGCAATAGATGTTACTACGAAAAAAAATTCTGAGGTCAATCTGATTTTTCCCCCCTTTAGACGTGGCGTACTTTTGCTGATGGGGTGCATATATGCCTGGTTATCACTGACGTAGAGGAACGTCGCTAGTGCTTATGAATCTCTAGTGTTGTTGCCAACAATACAGAATGTCATTTCAATATCTGGATTCACTAACTTGTCTTTTTTTCTTTTTCTTTTTTTTTTCCTTAAATGATCTCTCTATTTGTTCTCCTTTCTCCCCTCAGGAAATCATTTTCTGAATGTTGGCTCCCTTTTGCCCATTGCTGCCACCTTTTCTGTAATCGTGTTTACATCATTATTTTTTATACCATTTTGTGTGACTTCTTCGAGCACTTATGTCTTTTTCATGATTCTTCTTCAAGTCATCTCAATGAAATTGTTGGTTTGTTTAGTTTTTATCTCTACAGTGGTTTATTTATCTTTTCCTTCCATGTTTTTCTTGATCTCTGAAACCTTGCTTCATCATCTCTTTTGCTGTCTTAAAATCTCTTCTTTAAACTATCTGTTCTTACAACTTTCTGTCCTTCGTGGTGTCTATAATTTTCGTAAAACTTTGCAGAATTTATAGATGTGGTTTCCTTATATTTATATTCATTTTTGATATATTTACTTCAGCTTCCCTTTGCTTATTCTTGTTCTCATTTTTTAAGAAACTGATCAGTTACAATGTTAGACATGGGTCTACAACAGATTTATTTCTGACTAGTATTCACCTTTGAACTATATTCACTTTGCTTAAGAGTAAAGGGGAAATAATAGGGGGGAGAGTTCATAGTGATCTCTGAGTGCAAAGCCTCCATTTTGCTTGTTTCCTTAAATACTGTTATGTCATATCTAGTATTTTGTTTATCCGGGGTGAATTTCTCTCCTCTACAGTCAATGTGGGTCTCAGCAAAGCTCTCCTTTCTTCTACTTCGCTTGGAGGTGCTCCTAGGTTAAAAGGTTGGGTCATATACCAGGGTTTTGAAACTCAAATGCTTAGAGATAAAGTGGATGATATAAATGGGTGACGTGGGCCAAATATAAGACAAGAGGGAATGGTGGGGTCTATGGTAAACTGCAGTGTGTGCTTTATCCCAGGGATGGGCAGCTACTCACTGATTAGCTGCTCTCTGGTTGTTATGTAAGCACATTCTGGCCAGATCTTCTTTTTCAATAGACTGTAAAAATGTGGATTTTTATTTTTTTTAATTTTTCAAAGTTTATTTATTGTGAGAGAGAGAGAGAGAGAGAGAGAGAGAGAATCCCAAGCAGGCTCCCAGCCCTCAGTACAGAACCTGATGTGGGGCTCAAACTCACAAACCATGAAATCATGACCTGACCTGAAACCAAGAGTCAGACGCTCCACCGACTGAGCCACCCAGGTACCCCAAAATGTGGATTTTTAAAAAGTGAAACTTCTACATTTTAAAGGCAGTGCAGGTCAAAAAAAATATGTATCTGCAGACTCTCGTGTTTTAATCTCTATCATGGAAAAAATATAGCCATGGCAAATGTCGTGGCTTTTTATGATAACAACTGGGTATCTACAGAGCCTAAGGCCACCTCTACAGATGTACTTGCTTAGCCCTCTTTGTTCTACTCAAAGGATTTCTAGGGAAGCTTTTGACGGCTGAATCCTACTGCACTCTGATGTCGCATGAGTAGGCTGGCTCCCAGCACTCTCCCTCTCCTCATTAATGATCCACTGTATTTGAAAAGTGTGCTTCATAATTTGTGGTTTGATGTTGCGATCATTTCCTTGTGTCCCGGAGAATGGCATATTTTTTCTATGGCGATTTTATTTTGCTTTCATGGAATGAAAGACAATATGTCATTTCTCGAGAAAGACAACAATGTCATCATGGCCTTTCCGCTGTTACCTTTATCCCTCCTTTTTCCAATTCCTCTTGGTTGAAACTCTTTACTACCCTTGCTTTTATGACATTACACTGGTCTGTAGAGTCTAATTATATGCTCCTGTTTCAGGACAACCTACATAGTGTGCGGGGCTCGATGCAAATGAGAATGCAGGGCTACTTGCTGGAAAAATTATTGTGAATTTCAGGATGGTGACAGCAGATCATAAAGCCAAGCAGAGGTCTCTTCGAAGACCAGGCCCTGTGACTCTACAGGTGACGTGCCCACGAATCTGGCTCTGCTCCTGATTCTTGCCTCTCTGATTTCTCTTCCCGAGGTCTCCTCCAGCTGATCTTTATTCTCATATGCCAGACAGTCCCAAAGTTATGTCCTCAGCTTACTTCTCTCTCCCCACATATTGCCCTTGGCAACCTCAGCCAGACTCTGAGCTCCTACTTTCACCAAGACAGCGGCAAACCTGTGTTATACTTACTTGTGGACGTTCCCTGACAAAACAGGATTTCCTTGAGTGGACTCATATTATTAAAGGTCATAACTCCAGCAACTATTTTCCTCGGTCTCCTGAGACTCTCAGGTGAGCCTTCTTCCTCCACTTCCATGTTTTCCTCCAGCTTCTACCAAA